ATAGAGTCGCACACTAATTTGGATCCTATACTAAAGCCTATAAACAAGGCAGTCAAAATACAAAACAAGTAAGTAAATAACTAATTAACAATTTACAATATTTACTTAATCAATTCTGTGATTCCTTCCTTAACACTCCCCCTCAAGTTGGAGTGTATGTTAATGACACCCAACTTGCTGAGTAGTGTTTCAAATTGTGTTGAACTCAATGGCTTGGTAAAAATGTCAGCTGGTTGATCAGATGTCCGTATGTAGACTGTACGAACCATTCCTCCTTGAATCTTCTCTCTTACCAAATGACAATCAATTTCTATGTGTTTCGTCCGTTCATGAAATACCAGATTCGAAGCAATGTACATGGCTGCTTGATTGTCACAAAATAAAGTGACTGGTTGTGGATGATTCACCTTCAAATCTTTTAAAATGTTTTTCAACCATGTAATCTCACAGCATGTAGTGGCCATGGAACGGTATTCTGCCTCTGCACTGGAGCGAGATACAGTAGTTTGTTTCTTTGTTTTCCAAGAAATCGGTGCTTGACCAAGCTGAATGCAATAACCCGTTATTGATCTCCTCGTATCCTTGCATCTAGCCCAGTCAGCATCACAAAATGCCCTTAATTGCAATGATCCTGTAGAGGGTAGAAAAATACCTTGTCCAGGTGCATTTTTGATGTACTTGAGAACTTTGTGTGCTGCTTCAAGGTGTGGTTGTCTAGGCTTTTCCATGAATTGACTTAGCATGTGGACAGCATATGCTAGGTCCGGCCTTGTTATAGTCAAGTAGATTAATCTTCCTACAAGCCTTCTGTATGGTGATGCATCAACTAATAGCTTTCCTTCTGTATGTGTGAGAGAAATGTTTTGCTCTACAGGAAATCTTGAAGGTTTGGCACCTAAGAATCCCGCATCATCTAATATATCCAATGCATATTTTCTTTGGCACAAGGTTATGCCATGCTTGGACCGCGCAACCTCTATCCCCAAGAAATATTTGAGTTTGCCCAAGTCTTTCAATTTAAATTGTTGCGAGAGAAACTGTTTTGTATCCTCAATTTCTTGCAAATTATTTCCGGCCAGTATTACATCATCAACATAAACTAGCAAAGCAATGAAGTTACCTTGACGATTTCGGACGAATAGTGAATAGTCAGACCATGACTGGTGAAAACCAGCAGCCTTGAGAGCAATGGAAAGTTTAAGGAACCATTGCCTCGAGGCTTGTTTTAGGCCATATAAGGATTTATTTAACTTGCATACTCGAGTCTCCCCCTTTCGGCCGAAACCAGGAGGTAAGCACATGTAAACTTCTTCGTCGAGGTCACCATGTAAAAAGGCGTTATTAACGTCGAGTTGATGTAAGTGCCATCCACGAACAGCAGCCACACTAAGTAGGACACGAACAGTGGTCAATTTGGCAACAGGAGCAAAGGTTTCTCTGTAATCCACACCTTCGATCTGACTGTAACCTTTCGCAACCAAGCGTGCTTTATAACGCTCGATAGTCCCATCAGGTTTCAGTTTCACCTTATAGACCCATTTGCAACCGATGGGGCGTTTGTGTTGGGGTAGAGGGACGAGAGACCAAGTGTTGTTGGCCTGAAGAGCCTCAATTTCGTGCTTCATGGCAGCACGCCAATTGGGATTTTGGACAGCCTGCAAAAATGTGGTAGGTTCTTGGATGGCTGTGATGTTAGCAACAAAAGTTCTGTGGGGTGAAGAGAGACGGTGGTAAGATAAGAAGTGAGAGAGAGGGTGAGAGGTACCTGTTGACGTGACCACATTCGTGGAAGATGAAGGAGCAGGTCTTGGACGGAAGAGATGTCTCGACGTGAAAGTCCTGCAAAAATATGGAGGTTTTGGTAGGGCGTGTGCCGCGTCGTGGTGCAGGTGGGATAGCAGCCACGGGGCAAATGGGGTTGGGGTTAAGAGGTGGTATTGGGGACGTGGGGTTGTTGTCCAGAGGGTGAGAAGACGGTGTCGGTGTAGTGGAGGGTGAGTCGGTGGAAAGTGGGGTATCGGTGGAAGTAGGAGAATGCATGGGAGCAAGGTTGGAATTATGATGATGCATGGGAGCAAGGTCGGTGGGCGGTGCAGTGATCATATCAAGTGAATGGGGTAGGGTAGGAGACGTGTCATAAGACAAAGATGGAGGTGGAACATCCATATCACACGGTGACGGTGGAAAAGGGAGGTTGGGCAAGGAACTAGGTACAGCGGAAATATTGGAGGTGTGGTAGGGAAAATGGTCCTCAAAGAATGTGACATCCCGTGACACAAAAACCTTTTGAAGTGTGAGATCAAACAACTTATAACCCTTTTGCACATAAGGATAACCAAGAAAAATACAACGACGTGCACGAGGGTCAAATTTTGAAGGTTTTTGTGCATGGGTGGACGCAAAACACAAACAGCCAAAAACATGTAGGTGTGTGTAAGTTGGTTCTTTGTGAAACAATTTTTGATATGGTGTTTGCCCTTGAAGGAGAGGAGTAGGAGTGCGATTGATGAGGTAGGCCAAAGTAAGGATGGCATCACCCCAAAAACGTTTAGGAAGGTTGGCTTGAAATAGAAGGGATCGAGCAACATTGAGCAAGTGGCGATGCTTGCGTTCAACGACACCATTTTGTTGTGGTGTGTTGACGCAACTAGTTTGGTGAATGATGCCTTTGAGAGTGTAAAATGTGTTTAGTTTGAACTCAGGACCATTGTCACTTCGAACCATTTTGACCTTAGTGTTGAATTGATTTTCTACCATGTGAATGAACTGAACAAGGAGATTTTGGGTGTCAGACTTGTGTTTCATCAAATAAACCCATGTGCACCGAGTATAATCGTCTACAATGGTGAGAAAGTATTTGGCACCGGAAATAGACGCAACTTGATAACCACCCCAAATATCAACATGAATTAATTCAAAACATGACTGAGTAGAGATAGAACTTAATGAAAAAGATGATCTTGTTTGTTTGGCCAATGGGCAAATAAAACATTTATTTGAATCACAAGTTTGATTGTGCAAAAAGGGAAATAACATGGATACTTTGTGCGATGGATGCCCAAGACGTTGGTGCCAAAATGTGGATGGTAGGGTGGTAACGGTGTTGCATGTTCCTTTCTTTGGTGGGTCGAGATAATAGAGTCCCTCCCGTTCAAATCCCATCCCAGTCATCTTCCCCGAGCGTAGGTCTTGTATGACACAAAATTGTTTTAGAAAAATGGTAATGTACAGGGAATCATAGGCTAATTTGCTAATGGATATCAAATTTAGCTTAAAGAATGGTACACATAAAACATTATCAAGAACAAGATGGGGAGAGAAAACAACTCGTCCGACATGGGTGACCGTAGCAAGGGATCCGTTGGGTAACTCAACAGTACGGTTTTCAACAGGTTTCAAGGATGTAAAGAAGGTAGGGCTACATACTATGTGGTCTGTGGCTCCACTATCCAAAATCCAAACGGTTCTTTGTCCATTACGTACAAAGGAGAAGGCTTTACCTGAAAGTTCTTCAGAGTTTGAAGAATTACCCACTTGGTTGACGAATGAGGAGGATTTGCTCTTGTTTAACAATTGTAGAATCTGCTTACAATCCTCTTGGGAAAAAGGAAAGTTTGGCATCACGTCTCTTTTGTCATTTGTCATGACTTGGTTGCCTTTGGAAGGACGACCTTGTTCAACCTCAGCAGCCGCCTTTCGTTTACGACAAAAATCAAAGGTGTGACCCTTCCATCCACAAAATGTGCACTTGAGATGCGCCCGACAATTTTTGGTGGTGTGGTTTGTTTTGTTGCACTTCCCGCATCGAGTCCCATGATCCTCAGACTCGGCTTCCCGATTTGTAGTCTTCACGGCAAACACTGCTGCCTCTGGTTGGGCAGTGCCTTTCCCATTAGAGACTTCTAGTTGACGTTCATGACGAAGAACCAAGGAATAAGCTTTGTTCACTGTGGGCAGTGGCTCGAGTAGAAGGGTATTGCTGCGAACAGTGGCATATGAGTCATTCAAACCCATAAGGAATTTCATGGTTTTCTGAGTCTCCACGTAACAAGCAATCTCCTTCTTTGTTTCACAACTACAAGCTGGGATTGAGCATAGGACATCCCGTTCATCCCAAAGACTTTTCAGTTTGGTGAAATAAGAACTCACGGTCATGGTTCCTTGCACACAATCGTGGATTTCATTCTCTAAATGGAAAAGTTGCACGATATTCACATGAGAAAATCTTTCTTGCAAGTCAAGCCACATTTGACGAGCATCCTTACAATGGATAACACTTCCTGAAATTTCCTTTGACATCGATCCCAATAACCATGTCTTGACTAAATTGTTGCATCGATTCCATTGTTGCAACTCTTCGTGTTTGTCCTCACTTGGTTTCTTGATTGTGCCATCAACAAGTCCAAGTTTGTTCTTGACCGTTAAGGCCATTGTCATGGATTGAACCCATGTACCATAATTATCTTCCACCAATGGCTGCGGTACGAGGACTGCACCAGGCTGGTCCGAATGGTGGAGATAGAGTGGGTGGTTTGGGTTTTCCCACCTTAGATGTGAGGCTATGCCTGAAGAAGTTATTTGTGTTTCTGGTTTGTCACCCATGGCTACGTCGGCTTGGGTGGCTTTTTGTGTTTTGCTGTGTTTCCTAGATCAACTCTCTGGTACCATCTAAAGAAATATGATAATTGAATTTCTTCTTGTTATTGAAAGAACTAGGGTTACAACATTATATAGAGTCGCACACTAATTTGGATCCTATACTAAAGCCTATAAACAAGGCAGTCAAAATACAAAACAAGTAAGTAAATAACTAATTAACAATTTACAATATTTACTTAATCAATTCTGTGATTCCTTCCTTAACAGATAGAGAACGAGAATATGAAATGACTCTATGCTTACGGGCACATTGAAAGTTGCAACTTCATCCCTAAGTTAGATATGGGCTGGGCCCATCAAGCTATACTGTTCAAGGCCCAGGACAATGAAAAAGCTGGATTTTGTGAGCACATAGCATCCGAGGGTTTTGGGGTTTACATATTTCCAGAGCATCTTCAACACTGTGCGTCTCGCTTCCGATCAATGCAGTGAACCACGAAATGATTTGGTTTAGATTTAGGGTTTTGCCAATGAATTGAATCCTGCAACTTCAAGGTATTTCCTTTCGCTCTTCTGACATTTTTGAACACGCGCGCGTACATATTTTGTATTTTGTATTTTGTATTTTGTATTTCGATTTCTTCTGTTTGGCTGCTGAGAAAGTGTTAATACATATAAATCTTTTGAATTTATCGAATTTCTCATTTCACACGAACTGCAATTTAATTTATATGTTTGTGTGTTTCTGCTGTTGGTTGGAATTCGAAATGGAATTATTGGCTGTGGCTCATATAAACAGAAATTATGGATATAAAATTTTAAATTAAAGTTGGGGATTTGGTGTTTTTTTTTTTTTTTTCCCAATCTGCATCAACTAATTTGGTTGCTGTTTTGGTTTAGGAGTTATGAACTTTAAGATAGTAAAGTTCCCAATTTGTTCTTGTATATGAATGTACCTTGTCTTTTCAGTGCTAGGTTATAATGCTTTGTTTGATCTCTGGGAATTTGGATTCATTGGTTGTAAACCGAACAGCGAATGTCCTTCGGATAAATGTATTTCAATTTTCTTTAAGCAAAGATGGGAACTTTCTTTTAACTTACAGTAGAAACTTTTAAGACAACATTTCGGTTGCTCTTTCTTTCTGGAATTCTTTTTCTGCCATAAGATCAGTACTTTGGGTTATGGATTCGTAAAGTGTCCATATTTGATCTCTGTGTTTGTGTTACTGTGTAGTGTTACAGCATATGCTGTTATGCACTGAGCTGTATTAATTTATGGGGTTACTTCAGGTGACATGTGGATGCTTAAGAAATTTCTTTTCTCTTTTTGGTGAGTTTAGGATATTCAGTACCTGTGGTGTGACTTGGTAGATTGCTTCCTGGGCAAAATACTGCAGCAATGCAGAATCTGCACCGCGTTATATCCCGTCTTTCCTCAACTTCAATTAGCACAAGCACAACAAAGTTTCTGAGAGAGAAAAGCAAACCGACTTTGGGAAGCAATGGTGTGCTTCCATTGAAGAATGATATCGTATCTTGTCAGTTTATCACTTCCCGATTCTTTTCTTTCAGCTCTGGAGGTGACGGTGAAAATGATGGTAAAGATGAGTGGGATAAACCCCCGTCTGGGACATTTAGCAATAATGCATCAGATGATTTGGGGTGGGATAAACCTTCATCTGGAACATTTACCAATAATGCATCAGATAATTTGGGGTGGGATACTGCATCAGCATGGTCGACTGGACTGACCAGGGAGCATTTTGATGGGGAGGTGGTAGGCCGACGTACAAGTGGGCTCAACCCATCTCAATCTTCAGTGGTATCTGGTTTGCAAGAAATTGAGGATAGAATAAGGGAACTGGAAGAAGAGAACAAGAAAAGTAAAACGTTTGTGGATGGGTGGGGAGAGAGATTGCGGGAGATAAGTGTGCTTCTGAAGCAAGTGCGTGAGCCAGGTGCGAGAGGATCTTATCTCAAGGACTCGGAGAAGGCTGAGATGTATAAGAAGCACAAGGAAAACCCTGAGGTTTATACTGTTGAGCGGCTGGCTAAGGATTATAGGATTATGAGGCAGAGAGTGCATGCAATTCTTTGGCTCAAAGAGCTTGAGGAGGAAGAGGAGAAAAAACTTGGTCGTCCTTTAGATGATTCTGTTGAGCTTCTTCTTGACACCTGCCCAGAGTAAGACACCAATTCACGAGCATTACTTCAAATATATACAAAGGGTTCTGTAGTTCCAATAATTTGTAATGATATCAATCATTCCGTGCATACCTCATACGGATGGTATAGGTTTCCTGCTGCGTTAATTTTAATCGCAAAATTATAGGTGCAGTGGTGCTTAGCTGATGTAATAGCCAGATTGTATTTCCCATAGTGCATAACTCCTTTCCTCTTTTCAGATTTTTTAATTCTCATGACCGCGAATTCCATGTGGCATCCCTTCCCTACAAACCTGATTTCAAGGTTATGCCAGAGGGTTGGGATGGGACCACCAGAGATTTGGATGAAGTTCATTATGAAATCTCAAAGAAAGAAGATGAAATGCTCTATCAAGAGTTTGTCCAGAGAATGAACTTCAACAAAATGAAGGTAAGTTCCATAATCCTGACTTTGCCATGAGAAAAGAAAGGAATCTAAACATTTATAATATCAAGGAAAAAAGCATACATCTGTACTACAAAGTATTAGTGCTATAGTTGGTGTTGCTGTTACATCTGCTCATTATTATTAGGCGAGTCTTAAGTGCGTTTCTATAAGACATGGTGACAGATTAGGCGAGTCTTAATAAGTAAATGTGGGCTGATAAATTTGGTGACTGAAATTAAGTGCCATATCCAATTGTGGTGTATGTAGGTTTTGATTGTTTTCACCATGAATTTGTTTATGGTTCCAATTTCTGGTTCTTAAAGCTTAGCAGTTGAAATTTTGTGGGATATCCATTATCAAGTCAGCATGGGGGGATTGGTAGGGCAATAAGATGGGAATTTTCGGGCACTCGAATTGTATTGACTTGTCGGGTAAAAGAGGTTTGTCTTCCATGCTCCAATGATATAGAGAGGGAAATACTTTCATTGAAAAGTAAAAGACGGTTTCTTTGTTATTAGAGAATGACGATGACGACTATGTATAGGGTGATTCAAGGCACTATTTCACTATAGATTTGACTATTCAGTATTTTGATAATACCATTTGTATCATCTGTCAATGCTTTTGTTATCCCTTTAAGTGATGGTTTCATTTGTGTGCAGATAAAAGGAGAGGTTTTCTGCCACAAGCATAGTCGTCGCCGGACTTCAAATGGGTGGAACTTCACCGTGGAAAAACTAGGACCAAGAGGAAAGCGTGGAGGTGGCGGCGGCTGGAAGTTTGTCAGCCAGGCAGATGGTTCAAGCCGACCACTGAATGAAACGGAGAAAATGTACGTGAAGCGAGAAACACCCTGCCGCCGGCGCAAGATCCTTCCGTGATGATGAAGGTCTATGAAGGTCTTTTGTTATTGAGTCAGGTGTTGTTTTCAAGTATATTTTGTAGTTGGTGAAAATTTTGTGTGGGTCTCTGCTTTGGTGGTGATAAATTGATAATAATGGCATCTTGTTTTTCCACCATTGTTAACCAATCAATACCTTTTCTGTCAGACGTTTGACATTTGTATCATTTTGCTTAGCATTTGTATCATTTTGCTTAGCATTTGTATCATTTTGCTTAGCATTTGTATCTTCACCAACCCTCTTTGGTCAATTTTGCAAGTTTATGAATACAACCCTAATAAATTCAGTCATTGATCCATTATTGCGTACGTGGATGAGAAAACGATACGAGAAAATGAGGTCTCGTTTGGTGTTGAAGACTGGATTCAAATTGTGTCGGAGAAAAGAAATAAATAACAAATTGCAAATATTATTTAGTTGAAGGTGGTAGATTGGCCGTATTGGAAAATTCTCTCATTAATCTCCGAAAAAATAGTATGAGTGTGAGGGATAAATTTCTTTCATAATGAATTATCTTTTGCATTAAACTTTGACGATATTTGGAAATTGATGTTCAGTTCTTCTCTAAACAGATTAAATCTAGAGAGTTATTTCGAATTGATATTAAACACCAAAATGAGGCTTTAATAGAAAAACAGATCCAACCCCATGAGAACACCTTTAATTCTGAAAGAAATTAAATTAGATGGTACGAGTTTCGTCTGTTAAAAATCAACTAAACCTTTGATTTAATATTATTTTTTATTTTCGAAAGTAGAAAAGTCATTTGTTATATTATCTTAAGGAAATTATATAGGTTATTAAATTATCACTTCACTTGCCTAGGTCACTTCACAATATTCTTTAATAATTTAACTAATAATTTATTAAATTATCACTTGAAGATCATTTCTGTAAAATTTTATTGTAACCCAAAGCCGTTGAATATGCATAATATTTTGAAAGATAAAATGTTTGATTCCAAAAAATAGTCTTTTTACCTAAAATGTTTTTTGAGATTAGTATAACTTTTCACATTGGTTTCTGACAATGAATATTGATATAAGTGATTCCTTAGATAGTTACGTGGTCGTTCATATGAAATTTAACGAGGATATGACAGATACTGTAGCACTCACACGAGAATTTCTCGATGGGTCACCCATCGCTTAACTTCGGAGTTCCCATAGAACCCAAAGCCAGTGCTCTCCCAAAATGCCTCGTGCTAGGTAGGGATGAGAATATACATATAAGGATCACTCCCCTGGGCAATGTAGGGTGTCACAATCCACCCCCCTTAGGGGCCCGACTTCCTCGTCGGCACACCACAACCAAGGTTAGGCTCTGATACCAAATTGTCACATCCCGCCCCAGGCGGGACCACTTTCCTGGCCCGACTCTACTGTAGCACAATATTGTCCGTTTTGTGCCCCCAGCACACCGTCACGGTTTTGTTTCTGGGAACTCACACGAGAACTTCCTGATGGGTCACCCATTCTGGAAGTGCTCTCGCGCGCTACTCGCTTAACTTCGGAGTTCCCATGGAATCCGAAGCCAGTGAGCTCCCAAAAAGCCTCGTGCTAGGTAGGGATGAAAATATACATATAAGAATCACTCCCCTGAGCGATGTGGGATGTCACATTTTTCACGAAGAACTAAATGTTATTTACAATAGACAAACTCGGAGAACAATTATCAGAAATTCAAGTAAGGTGTTATAATAATCTTAAAACCATTATTATAGCACAGCACACAGAAAAATAAAGGGAAAAAAAAGGTTAGAGACTTCTATTTCTTGTATTTTTGCAATTTTTTTGTTGTTTTCCCACCTGTTCTTCTTTAGAGAGAGACAGAGAAGCAACAAAAACAAGCACCGAAAAAAACAAGAGGAAGAAAACAGCATGGTCGTTGTAGAGCAACAGCCATGAACAAGAAGAGCAATCAGAGCTCCGACAGAGAAGAAAACCACTCCAGGAAAGAAAGCGCCATCTCAACCCCAGATTCCAGATTCAACCAAACCCTCAGAAATGTTCAAGGGTAATTTTTTTTTCGTATTTTTATTAACTTCTTGATGATTTTTGGTTGTGATTTTCCTCAGATTTGAATACCCATTTGCAGAAAGCATCGTCTTTGAATATTAAATATTGAATTGTAATAATTAGGAGGCAATTTTTCACTCGTTAATGACTCTGATGCATTGCATTGGGGATTGGAATTGGTCCCAACATGTAAAAAGCATAGCTTTTGAATTTTGATTTCTCAAATTCTGAGAGTTGGTTGAAAAAATCAATGTGGGTTTTGTTCATTTCGATGTGTTCGATGCGAAATCAGTGAGAAAATTAGTGTGATTTGGAGATCTCTGTGCTTAGATTGGAAAATGTAGGAAAACAGAAGTGACTTGTTGAATTTTGAGGGAATATGTGATTCACATTTTATATCTGTTTCTTACCTTTCTTTTTAGTTCATTTGGCTGTCGATTTTGTTATGTGTTAACCTCAAGTTAATGTCATTTAGCTGAAAATTGGTGACGCTAGATTTGGTTTTTACTGGATGTTTTCGAAAGACTAGCAAGCATGTTCTCTAGGCTACTTAGATTGAACCAATACTGCCATCGTTCAGTGTGGAAGATAGTCTGATTCGTTATATGTCAATAAACTTATAACGGTAAGTGTGATGAAAGTTCTTGCGTATTATTCATTAACCCTGTCCCAGTCTGGCACTGTCCCAATCTTGATAAGATCCACTTTGCGTTAGATTGTCCGAGCTATCTGACAAAATGACTCCTTTCCGTCGTTGCATTATATAATGTTCTATCAGATATCTCCATTGTTTGGAGTTCAATGTCCGTGTCAACAGTTATGACAAAACGACTCCTTTCAGTTCAATGTTCGTGTCAACAGTTATGATAAATACTGGGTTATGTGTAGTTTAAGGTCACAAACTGAAGTAACCTATGTCTCTTCTGGTAGCTTGTCCACAATTCTTTAGATTCTGTTGTGTACTTCAGTTACTAAATGTTGATCTAAATAAGATCTGTTGTTTATAATATAAGTTCAACATCTGATTATTTTTTGCTTTGATCATATTGTCCTGATATCTAGGTTGCTCAAAGGTCGTAGTATTCCCGGTAAAGTCTTACTGACTAGGAGGTCAAACCTGCTGGATCCTTCAAAATTACAAGTGCCCTTACCAAATTACGAAAGGAGCTTATCATTCAATGATGCTGAAACAAGTGATCGCAGAGCCTTGGAGGTTTCTTTTTATCTCCCTTTAGTCTAATGAGCTTGAAAAGTAAACATATAAATCCATTTGCAATAATTGGTTAACTGAAATGTAACTAGTACTTTTACTTCTACAATAGGAAGACGGTGAGGGTCTAGGCAAGCCCAGCAATAATGCAAATTCAAATAAGTTAACATCATCAACCTCAAACGTTGAGAATATTTCCAAAGGAGCTCAGAAATCCACCATGGGAGCTAGAGCTACTGATTCTGCAAGAGTTATGAAGTTCACAAAGGTTCTTTCAGGGACAACAGTGATATTAGGTACTTAAGGACTTTGTTTCTCTTTAAATTCCCCTCCCCTGCTTTTCTTCTCCCCTTCCACTATATTCATCAAAGTCTGATTATGTAAAGCTAAAATGTTTCTTTTCTGAGTATGTTCTGGGTGGTGCTCAGATTACTAGTTAGAATCTGTTATTCTAATTAAATTTAATCTTTTTATTATGAAAAACAAAAGTGTTTTCTGATACGATTTAAGCACAGAAAGAAACGTAGTGACAAGCTATCAACCTGAAAATTGAAGTGATCTATACAGACTCTAAACTATAGCTCCTAGGAACTCATGCAACGTCATATAGCATCTCAAATTGATATTGCAAAACATTTAAATGAAGCAGAGACTTAAGAAACAGCTGCATGCCAAAGAGAGTCCGGAAGGGAGATATAAGACTTATTGGCAATTGGTACTATGAGAGTTGGGCAGTCCATACAGATGTGGAAAATGTGCACACAAAGGAGATTCCCCTCTATCGACCAGTGCTCCGAAAACCTAATCTGATCCCTGTTCTTCACAACTATCATAAGGAGAGAAATAAACATTACCCTGGGGTATTGTTTGTTGCTTTTCACGCCAAAATTTTGTGTAGTCCTTTCATCATTTAGTGGGCATCCTCAGTGATTTGAAATCTAAACTTTCACACGTGTTATTGTTACTGCTATGATCAGGCATTTCATTCTTGTAGCCTAGGTCACTCTGATAAATCTGTTACCACCCCAAGTTTCTCTTTTGCACTAATTGAATTTTGGATCTTTCCTTTCTTTTCATTTCCTTTCAAATTGAATCTTGAATTGTTATGTAGAGAAGTTGCGTGAGTTGGCTTGGAGTGGCATACCGCCATATATGCGGCCCGACATATGGAGGCTTCTTTTGGTAAGCTCTATGTTTCGATTCTTCTTCTAAAAGCACTATGACATTTTTTGGATTTGTTATCCAATGCACTAATAATCAACCACAGATATTTAACCATGTTTTTTTTTCTTTAGAATAAGATATTTAACTATGGTAGTTGCTGCAAATATAGAATTATTGCCTGTTTGCCTATTAGAGGAAGGAGAAGTTTTGGGTGGGGTTAGTTCATTACTATGTACAGTACTTTGGCTTCAATTTTATATAATAGGCTTGTAAAAGGCCTGATTGAAATTGCTTCCAAAGCTGCCTAAAGTGGAATCAGACAGAAGCCATTGGTTTTGTGCTCACCTTGTGAGAGGGAAGCAGCTAGGTTCTCTCCATATGTCCCTGTAGATTATTTACTGTCTTTTCTTTTTGTATTCTACACGTTTTGTTCACCGCAAGTTAAAAACCATTGCTGCCTTTAGCTGGTCAAGGGTGCCTAGTTCTTTCAGTGGTGTCCATGGTGTCCAATGTGCATCCCAGGCTTGGTACCTAAGGTCTTATGCTTGTGTTACTGTGTCATTAAGCTTATCAATCCACTTTTTTCCTTGTGAGTTATGGTGTTTGTTTTCTGTAATTGGAGTGGAAGTCCTAAAGCATGCATTTGAAGATACCATCACCTTAGAAAAAGGTCTTGTTTTATTTGCTATTTTGATAAACTGGATTGCATTTATCTTGTAAATGTTGTGGCTTGTTTGAAATTAAAATATGAACTGACAACAGGGATATGCACCATCTAATTCAGATAGAAGGGAGGGAGTTCTAAGAAGGAAGCGCCTTGAGTATCTTGACTGTGTTTCTCAGTACTATGATATTCCGGATACTGAGCGTTCAGATGATGAGATAAACATGCTTCGTCAGGTGTTTTATATGTTAAACAATTGCCAACTTAGTGCTAATACCTTGTTCTTGGATTTGACTATTATCTTTTTTGACCATATTAGATTGCTGTTGATTGCCCAAGAACTGTGCCAGATGTATCTTTTTTTCAGCAGGAGCAAGTCCAGAAATCCTTGGAGCGCATCCTTTATACCTGGTTAAATACTATATCTTAAATTACTAGTCATTGTTGGCTTGTTTTTTACATCAAATGCTCTCATGCAAACTCTTACTGGCTGTTCTAAGTTGCATCTACTGGACCTGCTGGTTCCTAAAAACAAAAGTGTAAAATTTAATAGGTTTATTGATCTAGGAATTCCAGAGCAATTGTCTTAGTTGTAGGGTTCATAAAAAAGGCTTTGGCTCATTAGACCCTCGCTGATTATGTAGTAGCTCACAATATGGAACAGTGAGATATGATATGTCTCTAAATTATCGTGCTGTTTAGTGCCGTGCATCAGTCTCAAAAACCAGCCCATGTCCATACCAATAATGCTTTAACAGCTCTAAGTTTAGAGGCTTTTAGTACCAGTCAGACTTGAAAACATTTGTAATTGCTCTATTGGTTTTACCAAAGTAGTTATAGCTCTAAACTGTTTGGGATAGTGGTGTCAAGTTGATAGCGACTTGTTTAAGTTCATATGTACATGTTCTCTGCAATAACCTGGTAGGTTTGGTGTTCTTAACATTTGTGCATTAAGAGGGCTGGCATGGGCATGAATCTCAAATTGTTATTGTCACTTAGCTATACATACATAGCTACACCTTCACTGTTATTTAGTAATGTTGATCAGAATGATTCAAGTGTCCACGTTCATTTCATGGTATTTTGATGGTAGGTCTCTACTGAGATTTGGACCATGCAGGGAGAAATAGAGAATAGTGATAAAGCTCTTCTATACCGTTGTTTATGTGAAACTTGTTTTCCAGTTGTTTCCTCTAACTGAGAAGTTTAGACTATGTGAAACTTGTGTCCTCCATGGTAAGTCCCTACTGAGATTAGGCCTCATTTATGTGAAACATGTTTCCTGTTGTTTCCTCCAACTGAGAGAATTGTTTCTATTTAATTTTCTTAGCTGTTGTTGGATTCCAACAGTTTAGATTTAAAAATAGGGACAAATCATGTAGATATGGAGTATGATATCAAGATGCCATCATTTTATTTTAATTTTTAATTATGTAATTCGTATGGTTATTAGTTATATCTTCTTAAGGTACTTCTCCTTGTGTCTTTCAGGGCCATTCGACATCCTGCAAGTGGATATGTTCAGGGAATAAATGATCTTGTTACTCCTTTTCTAGTTGTTTTCTTGTCAGAATACTTGGAGGGGAGTGTGGATAATTGGTCGATCTCTGATCTGTCTCCTGATAAAATATCTAATATAGAGGCTGACTGCTATTGGTGCCTATCAAATTTACTTGAAGGTATGCAAGATCATTACACTTTTGCTCAGCCGGGAATTCAGAGGCTTGTGTTTAAACTAAAGGAAGTGGTCAGGCGGATTGATGGTAACCCCCACTTTTTTGCTTCTGTTTTCTGATTCTTACAAATATGTGCAGTGTGCTTAAACTGATTTTAATTTTGCTAGACCCATTTTAATAAATTCTTCTCTGGCATAATTTTCAATATGGAATTCTCTTTGCTTTTCTTTATGCATATTTGGACTTGCATATAGCAACCTAGAGATGCTTGCTGGCTGACATATGGAGTCTTTATGTATATTTGGACTTCCTATATATTATAATTCCATGAAGAAGTGGTGTGTATTGCATTTCAGTTCTTTTAAATCCCCATCTGATGCAATAAAATGGTGTTGCACATTTGCACATCATATTGTAGCGAAAGGTTGTTAAATGTGAGTCATTGAAAGAATATATTTTATGTGGTTGGTATTGTTGAAGGAAAGACCAACTTTTGCTTGCATACTTTTTGCTTGTATACTTTACAAACTTTCATGTAATATCTTCAGAAGATGGCATATGCCTATGCTCTGGGATGCAAGAAACATGTCAAAATTCTGCTATCCTTCATGTGTATATTCTTTTTGTTTATTTTTTTCAAACTTCATGTGTATATTCATTAGTTTTCTTTTTTTTTTCTGCATTAGAACCTGTATCTAGACATGTGGAGGAGCAAGGGCTCGAATTTCTTCAATTTGCTTTTCGGTGGTTCAACTGTCTTCTAATACGCGAGGTTTGCTTCTACAGATCTCTTCTATGTACTTGATGTGTGTTTCCTCTGTTTTTGTGCACGGGACAATGCGAACCTACTGTAATTTATTGCATGGCTAATGGAATTTTTTTTCCTTTCTCCTTTTAGATTCCTTTCAATCTTATTTCACGTCTGTGGGATACATACCTAGCCGAAGGAGATGCATTGCCAGATTTCCTTGTGTATATATTTGCCAGTTTTCTTCTAACGGTAAGATAGAATCTATTTCCTTGGTTACGTGTTTGGATGTAGTAGCTGTGAGCCTGTGATGAGGAAATGTTGGTGTTGATTTATTTGTCTTTATCTCTGTCCGTTTGGTAAATGTTGGGGGGTCGGAAGGCTACCATGTTTGATAGCTCTACTTATGGAAACAAATCACCGTTTGTGATAACCTTGACTCTTTATATAAGGGTAAAGATCTTTTTCATGCAGCATGTTCAACACTGAAGAAATAGACTGTCGATTGCTCTTCATTTAACACATATAATAAACATAAATGCATTCTTTCAGCCTTGCTTGCCGTTTAAGTTTAAATGTCGATTACTTTGCATGGAAACTGCCTTCCATTGTGTTTTTTTTAGTGTCATCGCCAACTGGCCGTGGTGGTTCTTCTTTTTAACTTTTTAAATTGTTTTTTGGAGTTTGAAAAAGGTAAAAAGATTTGATTGGCGATAAAAATGCCATTTCATTAAAAACCTTAATAAATTGGGATTCAAATTAAATGCGCTATGTGTTACACTGTTTACTATGTTCTTGTGCTTGAGTAAATTTGACAGCAGATAATCAGAAAGACTATTTTCTGTGTTCGTTGGTTATATTTTCAGCTTAAATTGTTCTTCTGTAACGGAGTTGAAGTCAGTAACTGAAATCCTCTATGATCTGATATACAGTGGTCAGAAGAGCTTCAGAAGCTTGATTTCCAAGAGTTGGTAATGTTTCTTCAACACCTTCCGACGCATAACTGGACTCACCAAGAGCTCGAGATGGTGCTGTCAAGAGCTTTCATGTGGCACAGTATGTTCAAAAGCTCTCCCAGACATTTGGCCAGCTAAACACAAATGTAATATTCCACCATCTATCGACGACTCTGGAATTTTCTTTTATCGTAGTTTTCCGTTTCTTTGTTCTTAATGTGGGTTTCTACAATTGTTTTCTCCTATGGTGTCGACCGTTGCTCGTATTATGTATCAGGTGTCTGTAGATTTTGCATTTGAGCAGTGGAGGAAGAAGGATGAATCACTTTGTATGATTTTATTTTATTGGATGGAGCTGAGGGAAACATTGGTTCTTTGCTACCTGAGCTCCGAAGGTACTCAGGGCTCGTTTGGGAGTGATATTGGAAGGGCTAGAATCACTTTTGAGGGGAAGCACCTCCCATATAGATAAAATCGAAGTGATTTATGTGATTTTATGGAGAAGCACCTCATCCCAAAAGTGATTCTGACTGTCTTAGAATCACTTTCCAAACGAGCCCTCATAAATCATACTCTTTGAGGTAATTTAGGTAATTAACAAAATTGCATCTAACTCACATCCAACCCTACACTAATTATCTTTTTCTTTGTCATTTGCTTTGTGTGTGTGCACCGTCTGGAGGTTAGGGATGCTAATTTAAACAAAAATGTTAAACACACAACACATTTATCTTTATTTCTATTTATACACAAATATTGAACTACCACCTCACCCTTGACACTTGTAGCTTTTTATATTTGATAGATTCCAAATTGAAAAATTGGAGGAAATTAGGGAAAGTTTCAACCTCCGGGATACAATTTAAGGAAACATATGGTTGTCAAAATATATTTATTTATGTCTATATTCGAATTTTGTATACATCGACACTTATATAAAACGGGTAAAATGGTTCATAAAAAAAATAAAAAAAAACTGAGCAATAATTTTTTTGTTGTCGACAGTCTGTCATGTTACATTGTTAGATTGTCAATTCGCAATTAAGAATATACTTAATTAGATTGCCAATTTGACATTGGAACCTTTTGTATTTTTAGGGTTTTTAAAGGAAAGTTGCGTAGCAAATTACAAATCAAATTACAGTAATCCTCATCAGTCATCACCTTGGGCCTTGGCAACCCATTACATTAAATTCCCCCGAATAAAACCGTTAAGTCGGTAGGATTATGCCACGCGTAAACCAATTAAGGGAGAAAAATCAACGGCAGCCAACACGTTAAACGTACGTAGCCGTATCATATTGCCACGCATAAAGAGCCTTGCTCCTGCAACGGTAATATAATCCCTCATTTGCCCTTATAAGCATGCCACTCTTTCTCTAACTCATCCCATTCCCAGCTTCTCTCTCTCTCTCTCTCTCTAGAACGTCTCTGCCTTTTTCTTCCTAAATTGCAGATCATCTTTGCTGTTTGTGCTTCTCGATTTCCATCGCCTTCGGTCCCTATATATTTGGAAACAAAATACATATATTGGGTCACAGTTTATATTGTTACTGTTTGACCTGTGTGTTTTGTTTTGTTTTGATCTTGTTGATCAATTCTTAATTTCTCTCATGGAGTTTGGGAGATTTGTTTGGCTTCAAATCTTGTTGGTGTTCTTTTGCTTGTGTTTGTCATCCATAGAAGGATACAAATTCTATGTTGGTGGGAAAGATGGGTGGGTTGTGAACCCTTCTCAGAGCTACAGCCTCTGGGCTGAGAGAAACAGGTTCAACATCAATGACACACTACGTAAGATCTCTCTCTCTCTCTCTCTCTCTCTCTCTATAAATATTTTCACTTATGATTTGTGTATCTTTTAGTTTGGATCATTGCTGATGTTTTTGTTTTGAGTAATGGTATTCATATCATGTTTTTATACCACATTTTCATACCATCTTAGATGACATTTGATCTGAACTGTTCAAGTCAGATACCATACAAAGAGATATAAAAATATGATATGAATAACATTACTTCTTGTCGTAAGAAAAATAATTTCCGCACGTATTTTTCTTATACATAACGCTGTTTATTTTCGTCATCCAGATTGAGAATTCAAAAACGGAATAGAATTGTACAAAAGTTATATCGCGTTTCTAATCCTCTAACCTTAAAGAACATCGTAATAGGAACACATTAAACATGAAAAATCTAATTACTTTGGTTTCACAACATCAACACATAATACATGAAAAATCTTGGGTCATACATCAATTTTTTCTAGTTAGCTGATTAAATTAAATAAATGGATTATTCACAAACAAACAAAAAGATTTAAATAAAAGAGAAAAATATATTATCCAAGAGATCCACCTAGCTATATTTCAGGTCGGTATTGTTGCTAAGTTTTGTTTCCTCATGCCACGTGTACACATACAGATTTCAAGTACAAGAAGGGGTCAGACTCGGTGCTCGTCGTGAACAAAGACGACTACTTCAGCTGCAACACCCAAAACCCTATTCAGAAACTCGACGGTGGCGACTCAGACTTCACCCTCGATAGGTCTGGACCTTTCTACTTTATCAGTGGCCAAAATGGTAATTGTCAAAAGGGTCAGAAGCTTCTTGTTATTGTCTTGGCCCCGAGGCACCCCAAGCCACCAGTCCTCCCTCCTCCTACTACTAGCCCTACCGCTCCTGGCCCTGGCCCTACCACTCCTACTAGCCCTACCGCTCCTCCGCAGCCCTACCACCCTCCTGCTGCGTCCCCACCACAAGGGCCCGGGCTACCCCCAGCTGCTGGAGGCCCGGTCTCTCTATCTCCATCACCAGTGATTACAACTCCTCCATCTGCTTCACCAGGGCCAGGGTCATCACAACCGTCGCCGTCGCCGTCAACCTCTCCGGTTCCAGCTCCGTCAACCAACACTCCAACATCATCTCCGGTGCCAGCTCCGGCGTCAGGCTATACTCCAACTACTTCTCCACCCGCACCGCCTACGGAGGGGCCCGCACCTACTCCATCTGGCGTGCCTGGGGGGCCCACACCTCAGGGAAGTGTTACTTCTCCACCCGCACCGCCTCCGGAGGGGGCCGCACCTACCCCATCTGGCGTGCCTGGGGGGGCTACACCTACTCCATCCGGCCAGCCTGCGGGCCCGCCGGGAAGTGTTACTTCTCCGCCACCAGGGTCCCAGGAAGCGACTCCCCCGTCAAATAATGGAGCGTTACGTGGAGTAGCGGATCCTTCGATTGTGTTGGTGTCTTTGGCTGTTGTTCTGGTCAGTGTGGCGCTCTCATGAAATGGATTTGTGCAGGGTTGAAATTACGGGGGAATAAATAAATAAAGATAGTGTGAGGGGTTTATTTAATTTGATGATTTATTGGGGGATGTTTTGTTAATTAGTTAATTTTCTATCATTTTTCATTTTATACCTTAGAACTCAACAGAGAATTTGTTTCGGTCGGGTTAATTCGTATTTGTTTATCCTAGTTTAATAATATGATTTATTATAGAATTATCGATATGATTTTGGTTTTTTTTTTTTTTTAACCCTTCAAAGTAAAACTTGATCAATTCATTTTCCGCATAACCCTTTTGTTGTTTTCCATATTCAATATTTTCTTCGACTCCTGTGATGCAATGACTTCGTGATTTAACTTTGAAAAGGACCATCTACGTATCTTCGTGGTAAAAATTTCATTATTAGAATCGTTTAATTGCAATTTACGTATCTTCACGATAAAAATTTCATTATAAGAACCATTTAATTTTTTAATCTTTATTTGAGAATCATCTTTACAAAAATTATTTGAGTTATATATCATTTAATTATTCATATCTATCAAATAGATTAACCGTCATAAATATGTTATTTGGTATTTACATTATAAATTTATTTGATACATTTAGATAATTATCATCTCTGATGTGAATAATTTTTATAAGGATAATCTTCAAATGAAGATTATAAAATTGAAGAGTTCCGATTATGAAATTATCCGGTGAAGATTCGTTGTTTGTGAATAGAGAAACAAGTTCATTTCTCCAAAAGAATGCAAGTATTATTCTTTATTTTATTCGTAGTGCTGCTGTAACTGAAATTTGGCTACTATACTTATATTATTTTATTCAATATAATTATGATCATCTCCACTGTTAGATGATGATTTGTGTTTTTTAAAAAAAAAAAAAATTTAAGTTCAAAAAAAAAGGAACAACCGACATGGTTATCCATCCTTTCTGAATTTGGAAAAACTATGAAGAATTTTACCTTACTTTGTAACCACAAGCACACGATGATTTGCTAAATACATACTAATGCTAGCCAATCACGTTGTAATTTTGGTTTTCTATTAGATTTAAGTCGGTGGGTAGAGCTGCATGAATACTCGCTACATGCATTTTAAGTGGTAAATTTGTAATTATCTACTAAAGTTATTCAACCCTCCGCGCCACATGCATAAATAGTAGTGCTAATTGAAGAATATAAATAAAATGGATCACGAAATTTTTCTTTTTTTATTTTTTTATTTTTTTATTTTGAACAAAAAATGGATCGCAATTTTGACCATACACATTGACCAAGTACACGTGTACAGCACTTGAGATACTAATCTTCACAAGAATGCATGAGTCGGTCAAGAATTGACCAAAAACAAAAATCAAAAGTTGGTTTGGTTGATTTTTCAACTTTGTTTCTTAATTATATACTAGTTTTCTAAATATTTAAGAGTCACAATTGCTTGAACTAGGGTTTAGGGTTTATATCTCTTAGTTTTCTCTTCGCTTCTTTTTGCTGGGTATTATGTTTAATTTCTTATAATGCTTCGGAGTATTTGATACTTTGAACTTAAACTTTTTAACCGTGAAATTTTTTATTAAAATCATAATAAAAAATCAAATATTTAACAGTTAAAAAAATTCAGAATTTCTATACTGAAACAGAATAAAATCTTTGTTATGTGTCTATCTGCAATTAATTAAACCTCAGACGAATAGCCTCAGGGAAGGGGAGGGAGGGGGACCTATCAAATATAATGAGCACTACTCATTTCATATTTGATTTTCGTCCCTACAATTGTTTGTGGGAGGGAGATTGTCTGCCCTCCTGTTTGGAAGTCATTTCCATCCCTTTCTATTTTATGCGATTACGTTAAGCCACGTTAATATTTTATATTGATTTTTTTATTGAGATAATAAAACAAAAAACAATAGAAATATAAAATGTTGACGTTGTTTAACCGTGACTGCACAAATAGGAAGAGATAGAAAGGGTACCCAAACAAGAGGGCAAACAATCTGCCTCCGTGTTTGTGAGGGCATTCAAATTTGTATGTGTGGCTCTGGATGTTGGGACTACCGAACCTCACCATTGACTGGAAGCTAATTTGTTATTAAGTCGCAATTCGATAATTATTTTGTTTTTAAGTTTTATTTTTCTATCTATAAAAATTAAAAATTGAAATTTTGTCGAATAATAACAATTTGAATTGAGAGTTTTCACTTTTTTAATTTTTAATTTGAAAAAAAATAAAAATAAAAATTATTTACCAAACAAGATTTTAAATTTTAATTTTTAAAAACTAAAAATGGTCGAGTATTATATTATAAATTGATTTAAAGCAGTGAGCGACCGTCCCTTCGTTCGTGGAAAATCAATAAATGGAACCGCACAAATGGATTGAAGTTTGACGCCTTCTTTCTTCGATATAACTGAAGTCTGACAAGATGATAGTGAATTCAATCCGAAGGAGTTAATAAAAGTCCACCAAAAACTCGGATATATTTAATCATGAATTCAAATGAGTCTATAAAAATTTGAGAGTTCTAACGGAAAGTTTACGGTACTATTTATTTTAATGAAAAATCATATTTTTACATTAAAAAGTCAATCCTGGTTCTATTCACTCTACCATTTATTTTATCTTTATTATTAAAACTCAAAAATTTCAAATTTTTTTCATTAGTTTTCTTTAAAAGTTTAGGAATATGTGGTCGCAATTTGATTTCATGGGATATACAACTCAAAGTCTATATGAATTTATAACTCCATAAAAATTCTTTACAATCCGATTGAATACACTTTTATATAAAACATGATGCTATTGTAAGAAACTTGTAGCTTGTGTGATTTATATTCATTACATGACCAGTCATATCTGTCGTTTGCAATATTTTTCGATAAATACTTTATCATGTTATATACACGTACTCATTAAGCTAATAAAAAAGCTAGTATATCTATATTTTTCATACTATATTTGAATTACTCTTTCTAGAAGAAATGTAATCCATGTGTCAATGAGTCCTGCTTCCATTAGGATGATTATACAAATATAATATAAAAAATTACAAAAGTGTAGCATTACTTTTAAACTAAATCGCTAAACAGAAAGAAAAAAAAAATCTTATTTATTATGTAATTTAAATCAATAATTTAGAAAAATAAGCCTTCTAGATTATCCTTCTGCTTGAGGCCTTAAAACATAGATTATCCTAACTTAGGCCTTCATTTTCATGGAATAGATAGGTGATGAATCTGCGGACAAGTGCGATCGATTTGCTTTTGTCGGCAAGAAAAATACAAGAAAGATGTGACGGGGAGTCGAGCTCTACATATGTCCACAGACTAGTCCATCTGTAGAGATGACAACCGATGACATGTTCCTCAATGCATATGACACCTGGGACGATGGGACTAACTTTATCAATTAAGTGATGTTAAATGTTTCTTCCAACCAATATTGATAAAGCTTCAAAATTGTGTATTTGAGAGAGGATTTGAATCATCTCCGAGAGGCAACTGGTCGGATACTCCTGATCAGTGTTCGTAGATTGTTAGATTTTTATCCAACAATTATAATTATTATAATTTTTAGAAGGTTTCCTATTTGTAACCGTTGCTAACATTGATCAAGAGAATCCCAATCAATTGCCTCGGAGAGGATCCAAATCCTTTGAGAGAATCCATTTGTCCTTTCGTGAAATTAGATTAGTAAAAGGAATCCGGATCCTCTCCAAATCCTTTTGGTGAGGATTCTAGAGATTCGTAAATTGTGTCTGTTTATCATACATCGTGCTATCAATTTTTATCAAGTACTCTTTGTGTTTAATTTTTTATTTAAAATAATTTATAACCGCATGATATACCGATAAACGGACATGATTGATGGATCCTCAGAGTCCATACAAACAGGATCCAAAGAGGAACCGGATTCTGGTAAAAGACCTTATTAGGTCTTGTTTGATGCTTAGTATTGAATTAAATTGAATATTTCACTAGGTTAATGTATATTGAAAAAAGAAATATATGTCGACTTTTTGCACTTTGTTCAAACTGAAGGTAGAGCACAGATTTAAAGTATGTTAAAGTATGAAAGAAACCGCACACGAAATTTCACGTGGATGAGATTAGTGGAGTGGTCTATTTCGGGCGTAATAATTCATTATGGAAGAAGAGAGTTTAGTTGTCCTTTTGTTGAAATTAGATTAGTATTAGGAGCTTAATGTTAATGTGAACTTTTGCCGGAAGAGAGGATGTTACAAGAGACTTGGACTAATCAAGAGTTGACTGACTCCTTAAATTTCTATTCAAACCCACATATTAGTAGTCAATCGGAATTGGATCCTCTTCTGAGCTTGTGCTCAGGATCTTTTTGATCAATCCACGTAATTCGTTTGATTTTGATTTAACAGTTATAAACAGAAGATTCTTTTAAAAATTATAATAATTGTAATCGTTGGATCAAAATTTAACATCTCACGTGGGTTGATCAGAAGGATCCTGAACTTGTGCTGAGAAGAGGATCCAATTCCTAGCCAATCTGTGTGGAAATTTCTTGTCATTAAGAGATGAAACTGATTGGACAGTCATGTCCATTACTTTACCTTTCCGAGTTAGGTTTCTGACTAAACTAGCAAGAAAATTTATCCTCCGTGTTAACATAGCCCATACAAATGAAGGGGAAACCTTGATTTTGATAATTTCTTTCACTACATACGATGTATGACCAATATAGTTTGACCAGACCCTTGATATAGCAACCCTTTCCTGACGTTTGAGCTTTGGAAACCTTGATTCAGATAATTTCTTTCACTACATACGATGTATGACCAATATAGTTTTGATCAGACCCTTGATGTAGCAACCCTTTCCTGACGTTTGAGCTTTTGATCCGAGCAGTTGTCTAATATAGTATCATGACATTTTTTACGTGATATCCTGAGTTTGATCTTCATCTCTCATTTCTTTATATATGTTTAACTCTCACTCGTCGGTGTGCCTTTTCAATGCAAAGTGGATCAGAAAATGAGCATCAAGGACGTAAGCTTGATATACATTATTGGTCAATTCCCTAACAACTTAAATTTCTGGGATAAATCTTCTCAATAACAATGTAAAAATGGTCAATTTTTTAATTATTTTTTTCATTTGTTAGCTGCATGGTAGCAAATAGCATTGTCAAATCAAATTTGGTTTTGAGTGAGTCCGTCGACATATTCTTTCTGAACGCCTTGACAAAATGTTAGGACAGAACTTGATGTGTTTCAGTTGCTTATATCTTAAGCAATACAAGTCGACGTCTAACGCACACAACACGTCAACACGGTGACTTGTCCTGCTCTTGACAATTACGGGAGGGGGGAAGACCGACAAAAAACGAGAAACCGCTGAATCGTGCGTGTCCTGTCCGTCCAGTCTTGCATAATAGACCGCCACTGCAATTTCGTATCGATGACACAAAAATTATGTGCCTGAAGACTTAAGAGTATTGTCTTATTGAGACGAAACGTCACAGTATACTCGTATATGAAAGTTGATTTCCAACAAGAACGAGATAATTCTTGCATACAGAGTACGGAAAACCATATGCAATAGCTCTCAAACAAAATGTGGGCTTGCATGGTGGGACGTTCATGCAGAAGGCTCACTTTTTGTTTGAGAGACGTCCGCTACAACAAGCTCACTCTCATAATTGGTCCGTTGTTTCGGTTTATTCACAATATGATGGAAGATTAAGAATTAAACATTGTCAATCACCTTTTGGCCCAAGTGACACTCAATCTCCGAGGAGGTCTCGAGTTCAATCTCATGGACAATAGGAAAAGAAAAAAAAAAACTGAACTTTTGCTCCTCGTAGATAGCCATTTTCTCCTCATTTACATCAAGTGATGTCCCAATAGGCTCAAAAATACATGAGATTAAGCAGCTGAGTTATAAGGGGAAGTAAACTAATATAGAAGAAAGCAGTGTAGCCACAAAATCATACATAACGAAAAGAACAAGCCGTGATCTGTGGTGCTTTCTGGGTACAAAAATGGCTGAAAGTATCGTCAAAAGAACCACCATCTCCGTTGTCGGGTCCTCTGCAAGGCATGAGACAGAGTTATAGCATTGTTGGATTACATAAATGTACACATCAGCACAAGGTGAAACCTCAATTTTCAAAACTAATAAAGCAGGATTTTCATAGATCAGAACCAATGCAGCATGAAAACAATGTGTTGAAAGTGAAACATGTGGTCCTAAGGTTCACCACCCGTGAACTAAGATTGACAAAAGCTAGAAGGCACTTTCTTGAATTTGTATGGAAACCCAAGTAGGACTCAAAAAAAAATCTTAGAACTTTCATTTCACAGTTGGGATACCAACGGACTTGATAGTATGGGGTACCGGTACAGTGATTAGTTGAGGCAAAATAGCTTTTCACCCGTATTTAAACAGCCGAACCATAAAGTACTAAATGGAGCTCTCTAATGGACGTTCAATAATGAAAAGAAGCCTAATGGACGTTCAATAATGGAGATCATCCAAATAACACAAAATTTGGACACGCAAGACCGTTAAGCTTAGTATGCAATTCCAGTACTACATGTCACAGTCAATTTCAACACTTCTATTACAATCTAGTCTAATTTGATGTTAATTTGAGAGTCGGATTGTAGCTTAAGTGGAATGGAAAGGGAAATATAAGGCGTGTCCTTTCTTGATTGGGTAATAGGATACTAGGATTCATCAAATAAGCACTTCTGTAATTTACACTCAGATTCAATGCTCGCCAAGAGCTAATAAAAGAGTGAAAAGGGAAGAGTAGTAAAACCTTCTGATTCTGATCTTGTAATTGTAATATAATAGGCTGGGAGAGGGTCCCACTGTCAATACTCTGCATGTACGGCCGTACCTTCTCCTCCAACATCTCGTTCAACTGACCATCAAAATGGATATATTACGTCATTGCACTGAAAACAATGGTTCGTGGCAAAAACTAAAAGCGATCGCAGGAAAAGATGGCCTCCATAGTTGTGTGCCTCGTATAAAATTTTAGTCTATGAGATCGTTATATTGATATATTCTATGTGCTTCATTTCCTATAGATTTACTAAACTCATTAAGAAATAGAAAGGGCAAAGCAGACTTCATTTTTAGCTACATAACATTATAAGTTACTAACCCTTTCTTGTCGCCATCTAGTCTCCCACTGCGCATCCAAAATTTTGTCAGCCAATTCTCTTTGAGCATTTAGAAGAACAGTCATTTCATAGAACTTTTCAGGATTTTTGAGGTCCTCCTTGCTCCAAGAAGATGCATTCAGTGGAAGGTCCAGTTCCTGCCAATGCTCCACTGTTAGATCATAATTATCCGAAGTATGATGAGCATCTTCCTTTTTCTGCCTGGTACCATTCAATACTTAAACTACTATATTGATTGAGATAGATTGCTTACACCCCAATTTTGCGGCCTTGGTGGAGGATCAAGTTTCATGACTTCTGTTTCAAGGGCCTTTTTTGCTTTATAGTAAGGGATATTTTTCACAATAACAGGATCTTCCTTGGCTCGAGCAGGATCTATGGAGATCAAGGCCTATCAATGATGAGCAAATTCATATCAAATATCTTTCTCAAGAAACAAATTACAGAAAATTGCAGAAACAATGCACTCTTAAAATGTACGAGAGTTCAATTATCAACATATGAATCCATCTTTGAACAAATGGAAATAGTATGAAGCAGATGGAACTAAGATGTTCCCTCAGTAAGAACAAAATTTACAATAGACTAATCACTGTTATACGACATTAAGAGCTGAAGCTTCATTACGATTTTTTTTTTCTTCTAAAAATAAGAAAAGAAGAGTTGTTAAAGGGAGACCAAAAGGCCAATAGAAGAATCCTAAACTTGTTTCCTATAAACTTTTCAAGAGATGTTTTGTCAACAAACAATATAAATACAAAAAAACCAAGCCCGTTAACTGAACTGGTTATATGCACAAATTTTCTTACTTCCTGCAACTGCTCCCAGCCAGGTTTTCGCTTGGCCACCACATCACGAAGTTGATCATACCGCATAGATTCCTAAACCAAAAAGAACCAGGAAACAAGGAAATAGATGAATAGATAATTATAGTAAGGTACTGCTGCAGTCTTGCTTAATAAAGTATTGTAAATAATAAATGTTAATGTAAAGTGGGATATTGAGCAATAAGGTAACAAGGATGTGTAGGAATTTTTTTTTAAGAAAAAAGTCGCATCTTTCACAAAAACAAAGGTAAAGCTCACATTTTTCTTGTACTGGTCTAATATCTTTAAAGTACAATACATGGGAATGTTGCCATCACAATATGATAAGAAACAACATAAAAGTAAGGATGTGTATAACTTTTGATACAGTATTTATAAATTGTAAACCTTGTATTGCCACCAAATTTTTTTCTTGATATCATCATCGAAGTCGAAACCCCCCACAACCTGAGGCAAGGTAAACAGCCAAAATGCAGCGATGCTGGGATCTTTCATGCTGTGAACTATATGCTGAAACAATTAACAAAATCGTTAATAAAAAATTAGATAAAAACTAGTATCTAAACTTTCCTTAGTTTGTGGATCTATGTTTATACAATGAGCAGAACGAAGCCTCTAGCAGCTGACCTAACAACAAAAATGAATACCATATCTGAAGACTAAACATGCTTGATAATATGGAGCTCTAATTCCTTGATAGTTACTTGACAATGAAATCATTATATTCAAAAGTTAAAAGATCCAATACGAGATTGACTATCTTCAGACACAAAGTATCTTCTCTAGCAAGGCTAAGCCCACAACAGTCACCAAATTTGACTCTTTCGCAGAATAAACTATAAGCGAAACTTTTATCGCTGCAGCCAGAGAGCCTGTACTTGAAATAAGTTTACTATATTTACTGTATTCAGATTCAAGAAGATATTCCTAAAATCGTTTGGCAACCAAAACGAATTCAGAGATGCTGTACTTTAATAATCAAACTTTGTCTTCAATGTTGAAAATAAATAAGTTCATTCTGTGTTCATCAGGGGCCTCTTCTGTTGAATTAGGGAGGACTGCAGAAGGGAAAGGCCCCCTCATGTTGCACGTGGTCTAAATGTCGGTATTTCAGAGAGAGTTAAGGAGTGGTGGGAGAAAAATTGCTTCATGGTGTCATAAACTTAGATGGGAGCTTGTTATAAATTACTCTTGCTAAGTAATTATACTTGTCAAAATAAAACCCACTAAAAGTAAAAGCATGTCGCATAGGACAAAAATTGATACTAGCCTCATAGGGGTAGTCCATCTTCCTCAGAACATTGTAGGCCTTCCATGGAGGCTCCATGATCTGTGAGGAAAAAAAAAAACATGAACCTATGAGGATGGAAGCATCATTAAGAATGAATCAATGAGATACGAGAGCGTGATTAAATAATACCACAATTTCTTTAAACTCAACTTTGAGAAGATAAAACAAAATAAAAGTAACATGACTATTGACTAGAGCTTTTTTATTCTTAACCAGTTGAATGGGTATGGACTGTATGATTTGTATCATTGTAGTCAAACAATTCCTTTTGAATGATTGACACAGTTTGCTTGAAATAACACACTGCCCTTCTGAAACATATTAAACCAATTCCAAATATTCTAACAGTAAATCAACTAATGTACTGAGAACTCTACAAGTAATTGGAACTATCAATTGCTAAGTTCTAGTCTTAGGAAACAAGAGGCAAGTTCACAAATTAGTGTTGAATTATGCATCGCACAAAGTGAAGATCAAGTTGGAACATTATGAGTCTCAGATCAATGTAAGAAAAAATAGCTTACATCATCTGCAGAGATTCTGACTTGTAATTTGTCCTTGCACTCAGGACAGCCCATCACACCCTGAAATAAAGTAAATATTTCGTGTCAAGTTTATGACTTCGGATCTTCAGTTTTGTGAGAAGGTAACCCGCATGCTTTGGATATAAATACTGATTATGAGTTTGATACAGTGGGAAATATATGTAACTAAGTCAAATTACGTGGGACCAAAAGGTTTACCGTGCCATCACAGGTTGGGCACTCTTTAGATGGCAATGGTGCATCAAGATTTATGGCGGATGGAAGATGAACCAACTCAGCCCGATTATCAGCAATGGCATCTGCAACACATTGAGCTGTTGCCTTCTCTCCACTGCATAAAGATTCATATGAGAAATAAAATTCACGAAGATAATATCATATTGGTATGGTTGGATAAAGAACTCACTGCACGATAATATTTATAAACAATAACCATAAAGTAGACGAAACATACTGCAAACCAAAGATAAAAAGAATATTTCCAACTAATCCAGCATTAACTACCAATCTTGATTGTCTGAAAGTTGAAACTACAGTAACAAGGAGAAACAGTACAGCAGAGCTATATTTAGTTTCAGAAATCACATTGCAAGACGTTTGTTTCTGACATGCTAGTAACATCTCAAATATTTGACTAGAAATATAATAAATTCCAGCAATCCAATGGACTCCCATTTTTTAGAATGATAGCCATAGTTTGGTTTTGAAGGACTACACCAGGAGACCCATAAGAAGCTCTTAACAGAGTCAAATTTTCTAATCAAGTTCATATTCCCAGTACAGATTTTGGCAAGACTGGAGATTTTCTAGCCCATTTGTTGGACTCACTAGGCATATGCTATTCAAACATTATAGCACAACTTAGAATTTTTTCCATCATATTTGGCTAGTTAAAACTTCAAGAAAATGGTTGTCGAATCATGTATCCTACGTATTTGATAAATCTCCCTCCATTTTTGCTAAAAGTCTTTCCACTTTGTGGCAAATGAGAGCACATTATAACTCATAGAGTTACCATGTTTTCCAGACATAGGGACCAAAATCTAAATGGATGGAAGTCTACCTTCTCAAGGTGTAATTCTTCACTTGGTATTGCACCCTCCCTGATCCTCTGCACATGGTACACCGCAATGCCTGCCAACCATTGCAGGTTCCACAGTTCCTGCACTTCAAGACAGCAGTTAAGAAATCATCCAAGTTCAATAAACTATGAATGTAGTAACATCATCAAGTTCACCAAGGAGATTCACAGCCAGATCCTTTTACACCAAATATGGCAGCTTAGAGAGCAACCATGAATACTACCATGGTTTTGAAATTTTCCCATAAAATGTTCTAAATTGTTGTGTGCGAATTGCTTCTCAATGATAGAGAATGGTGACTAGTACAATAACAGTAGTACACTATAAAATGATAGAAAGGAAGCACCTTTGTACATCAATGCATAATAATTTTCATTTTCTTTATAGTTTAGCACGTTTTTTGTCAGATGATCAATCTACAAACACAGACACACACACGCATATATATGCATATGTACATGTATATATATAGTGAAACTATAAACTATAAAGGTGCTAGGCACTACAATATCAAGCATAGAAAATAAAGACAAGTAACGATAAGGACTGCCAGGAAAAGTGAACAGATAATGAAAATTACCTTTGACATATCACCTTCTTTCCCATCTCTAATGCTATGTCATAAGTTCCTAAAGTAGCAACTGCCTGAAACGTAAAGGAAACCAAAACAGAACAAAACCATTCAGTATTATGCAAGTTCCCAAGAGTAGCAGCACCACCTCACAACCTATTTGACTAAACTACAAATGTAATTCAACTTTTCCATCAAATTATACATTCACCAATTGATTCTACATTCATCGCCAAAAAAATCCACACAAACCCCAATAACAATTGAACAAAAACCCATCGACCCAATTTCCCAAATGACACAAACCTCCCAAAACAACTGTTAATTTCTACCAAAATCCAGTCTTTATATCCCCTAAACTCAGAAAACACCATTGACCCATTTGCAGATACCTAATAACAGCGAAAACTCCCACTGAAAAGTAAAAAAAAGCAGCTAAATTCTCAAACTCTGCAGAGACAGAAAAATTCCCAAGTGATAAAATTTCGTGAATTGCAAGAACTCACAAAGATTGACATGTAAGATAGCTTGGACACCAACTCAGGAACGCCAAACCCACGTTGAGCAGAGCCGGCAATGTCGAAAGCAAGAGTGAAAGGAGAAAGGACAAGCTTGATAGGGAACTCGAAAATGTCAGTGAGCTGCTGGCCATATTTATCCGTGAAGATTTTGTAATGAAAGTCAGCGAACTTCTTGAGGCTCTTCAGCATACGGTCTTTGCCTGACATGGTTGGATGAGGGGAGGGACGGAGGGACGGAGGGACGGAGGGACTTTTGGCTTTGTAATTTGGAGAGGTGATTTTTGGGTTGGAATTGGATAATGTACTGTATACTAGAAACACAGAATGGGATGTTATCCGGGATAGGAGTAAGCACTGCAGCCAATGTCCACAGCCAAACGCCCCACCATTACTTTTTGATAATAATAATAAATAAAAAAAAAGGGGGGGTTAAGTCACACAATTAGGGAATAATAATTTAGTTTTAAACTTGTTAATGCATAAAGGTTGAACCAAAGACATATTATTTACACTGAGGAAGTATGAAATTAGGTTAAGTCGAATAATGTGTTAACCATAGTAATTGATTTTAAATTAGTCATTTACAAGAATATCATTGAAGATCTCTTAATTTTGAATACAATAATATTGTAAATATTATATAAAAATGATACCCTATATAGGAATAACCTTCATCTAGTCATAATAAGTTTTGGACCCAACTTTGACTGGTTATTTATAATTTTTTTAGGTCTCGTCTTAAGAAACTTCATTCACATAGTAATAATTGTCAACAAGTCCAAAAATATGTTGTCACAAATTAAAATTTAGGGGTGTGTCCACACATCCCTTTTTACTCTTCATACACTCTTTGTTAATTTTTGTCATTTGATATTCTCTAATTTATCCGTTACGATGGCCGAAAATTAAAATGATGTGTGAGAAGTAGTAACGGCGTGTGGATATCACACCCTAAAATTTGAGATGAAGTGAAATATTTATCTAAAGTGGTATGAGACAACGGTTTATTCCTTGGAGTTGATACTACTTCCTTGAGCTTGTAAGTAGGTAACAACTCGTCAAAATGAAGATCTTGTTCTTAAATGCCAAATTTTTTCAAGCATCTCTAGGGGGCTTTTTTTTTTTTTTTACCAGTAAGCATGTCTATAGTTTATTGGCATGAAACTTGACGCATTAAAGAGAACACTGCATACATGTATTTAGCTACTTTAGAGACTAGGTTCTCTCTTTTGCCAATGTGTACATCTTGAAAATTGACAAACTTCACTACTGAGTCAAAAAATAAGTTTCATAGTGACGCCTTTATTAAGTAATAACCTCCTTACAATTATAAATTGATTGGCTCCTAATAATATGACTATACAATCCACTTAGGCCATCTCCAACCGAGAGCTGGCCAGATGGCTCATTTTAGACCTTTGGCTCTCCAAGAAATTAATATTTTAATAAACAGTACATGATCATATTTGCCTTTGTCTCCAATCGAGGGCCAAAGGGCCATAGGGCTTGTTTTAGCCCTGTCACAAAAAACAGTCTCTAACCGAGAGCCATAGGGCTCGTTATTTAATGTCGTTTCATATTGTTTAATGTTATTTCATGTTACTTAATTTAATTTAATGTGGTATAATGGCTTAGGAATTTACAGGAAATAAATATAATTTAAAAAAATATATGAAACAAATTTTGTGAAATAGAAATTATAGGAAAAAAAATAGAATTTAAAATAAAATGAAACAAATTTTGTGAAATAGAAGTTATAGGAAAAAATTTGTAAATAAATAATAATAATAAAACTGTTAAAAAAAAAAAAATCAAATGCAACGGCTAGCTGACGTCAGCAAGCCGTTGCATTTGAATTTTAGCTTACGGATTCCTGTCGGTTATAACCGACAGGAATAATTATTTTTTTGGCCAGCCCCAGGCTGGCTGGCTGGCTACATGTAGCCAGCTCTCCAGCCCTCCAACCCTTTCAGATTTCGTGGGGCCCTCTCAAATTCCACGAGCCCTTTGGCCTAGCCCTCGGTTGGAGACAATTTTCGGGTTATTTTCGGCCCTCTGGCCCTCTGGACCCTTCGGTTGGAGATGGCCTTAGTATGACAATCTAGTGATATCTCTTTTGATTTGTAATTATTACGTTAAAGGGATGTGAAATTGAACTTTTTTTTTTAACAAACGATATTATCTACACTAAGGAGGAGGGTGGGTGCTCAGTCTCATAATGGGTTAACAATAATGTAGTTTAAACTCGCATTTTGCGAGAATCGAACCTAAGACCTCTTACTTCCAAGTGAAATTGAACTAAATCACATAATGAACTTGTGATAATAATTTAGTATTGAACTCATCTTGAGTTATCTTGTAAGTCATAGCAGCCACTGTACATATGTGGTGATGTGGAAAGATGGCATGAGTCATGCCTATTTTAATTCTCCTTTATAAATTGAAGTAGAATTTTTAACAAGGCAAAGTCCCGATTTCGTCATTAGATTATTACCTCAATGAAAATTAAGTCTTTAAATTATTTTTTCGATAAAATAAGTCCCTAAATTCATTAAAAATTGCTAATTTCATCCGTACTATTTTATTCAAAGCTATTTTATTCAATATTTTGTCAACTTAAGTCAATTTTTTTATCAACTTAAGTCAATTAACACACTTTAAAGTGTAATATCATCATTTTCTCTTCTATAAGCCCTTAACATTTCATATATGTTTTGAATCTAATGTTTAATTTACTGTCCAAAGTTAACTTCATGCACTATGTCTTTATGAAAAATTACCAACTACTCTCCAATGTGTATTACATGGAAGTAACGTGACTTAAATCAACGGAAAATTGAATATAGTATATTCGAATATAATATTAAGCATGTATTTGGCAAATTTTTATAATTCAATGACTACTTTTTTCTGAAAAATAGTTTAAGGACCTAATTTTTACTTAGGTAATAATTCAGGGATTAAATTAACAGTTCACTATTTCTAATAAGGTATAATAAAGTAATTTTATACAAAAAGGAAGAAAAATTTGCACAAATGGCACTTCAATTTTTCTAGTTTTGTGCACCATTTAATAATGAGAATTTTAACGAAAAGCTCCTGGTACTGTTCACTTAAACGAAAAACCACATTTTTACACTAAAAAGTCAATACTGGTACTATTCAGTTTACTCTTTATTTTGTCTTTATTATTAAAATTCAAAGTTTTCAAGCTATTTTCATTAGTTTTTTTTTTAATAATTTACAATTCAAACTTACAATGTTCCCTATTTCTTTAGTATAGATACTATCGTTTATTCAAAAACTTCAAACAATGTTACAATTTGCCATCTGTGCTCATTTTTAACTACATACTAAGGAGATTATCTCAAAACAGGACTCTTTATGAACTCTTCATCACCTCATCTTTTTGACACATTATTTTATAATGTTAACACAAAAATTAAGAAATTAAAATTAAATGTATAAAAATACACAAAAAATCTCACGTTTGAGAAAATCCCTTTAGTATTTCTCTTTCATAAAATAGTAATACGTAACAAAAAAAACATTCTTTCGAAAAGAAATTGTCTTTGTTTTACTCCTACTAAAACGAAAGCAAAGGTTTCACCTTCGATGAGTTATACGTTCACACGGATACAAAAGAAGAGGTTCACAGTTTATTTTAGCCTAGTATTGAAGCACACCAATCACAGGTTCACAGTTTCTTTCTCTGGACCAGCAATGGCAGCAGTGGGAGTGAACGGACTGAAACTCGGTACGACGTCGCAGGCCTACTTGGAAGGCAAAGCAGTGAGCGACACCAAGGTTCTGATATCCGACCTCTGCCGCCAGTTCTACAATCTCGGATGGGTCTCAGGGACCGGCGGCAGCATCACAATCAAAGTGCACGACGACTCTATTCCTAAGCCCGAGCAGCTCGTAGTCATGTCTCCATCTGGTATCTCTCTCTCTTTCTCTCTCTTTCCTCTCTCTGTAATCGTTTAGTTTCATTTTTGAGTTTTTGGGGTTTTTGGGTATTCATGGATTTTGCTCATTTTCCTAAAGTTTGTGTTTTGTGTTGTTCTTTTGGTTGTTTGCTTTCTGGGTTAATGTAATTTCTGCTAAATGTTGAATCTTTTGGCTCTTCTGTGTTGCTTGGTATATAAATTAATTGTGGGGTTTGTTTTGTGTTGATTAGTTACTTACTGTGTTTTTCTAGTATGAGCTCGACAGGTTGGCTGTTTGATTAGTGAGATTTCATTTTGGGAAATTGGCGGAAATAATGACATATCAAACATTAATGACGTATCAATCATTTACTGAAAGTGATCATTTCAGCAATTGGGATTAGTAAATTCACCATTTCATCCAATTTCTTTTCATATTTATCATGGTTCGTTTTGTGCTTGTTAATATTTGGTTGTTTGTAGATATGCATCTTTCAAGCTTAAAGGCAAAATATGTTTGCTATGTAGGTTTTTTTTTTAAAATGCTAAACAGGATAGTTTATTCATTGTAACTTTAGGTTCATTTTCAATACGTGTTCTTCTATGTTGTTTCTGGCTCACGTCTTCATGTGTTTTCAATGTGTAGGCGTTCAGAAGGAGAGAATGGTACCAGAGGACATGTATGTGTTATCTCCGAATGGGTCTGTCTTGTGTACTCCATCTCCTAAACCCTACCCACATAAGCCTCCCAAGTGTTCTGATTGTGGTCCACTTTTTATGAAGGTATCAATTCTTGTGCTTTTTATAAATACCATAAAGTTCTTGTTCGAAAGATAGTATAAAGTAGTTCCGACTAATGTTTGATTTGGATAAGTCAGTCTGAACATTTAAAACTTTGAAATGACTCGGATCCAGTTTTGTACAATTACTGTTGATGTCTGAATATGTGATGATGACATTAATGAACACTTTTGAGGTTCTTTTGATATTATACGCTATGTAAGCTGGGCAATAACTTTGTTGGCTCAACGGGGTGGTATTTCTAAGTTTTAACTCACAGAATACAATATGAAATCTTAGTTTTACAACCAAAGTACCTTTTCCGGAGCTATTGGTTTTGGCATGCTAAAGCTGCTAAACCAGGTGGAGACTGTAGTTCCTAACTCCTCCAAATATTGAAGATGGTAAAAGAAATTTGATCAATTATCTTTTCCTACATTTCATTAGCAATCAAAATAATCACTTTTGAAGACTTTGATTGCTTATGGCTATTGGATCCCTATCAGAATGTAGCCAAGAGGCGATTGATTTTGCGAAGAGAAATGTCAAGGAATCTCAGTTACAAGGTACAATGCAGA